AAAAAACCTAATTATTGCTCTTGACATATACCTTTCAAAGTTTCACGATATAATGGTTTGACTTTAAATAAGCATAATTTTTTTTAGTGAAAAGTAGAAATTATGATGTTTTAATATTTAAAATGTTAAAATTACTTGTGAAATTCTTTAAATATTTTTAATGAATCTATCTTGCATAACATTAATTCATTATGGGGCATGTTGATTTATTAAGGGTACATAAATCTTTTTATTATCATTCTTGGCATTTTAATGTCAAAACGGATTTTCCACAATATATCCCAAATTTTTAATATAATTTTGCAACTATTTGTTTTTTTTTTTTTTTTTAATTTTTAGTTAACAATGTTCAAGTAAATTATTCCACAAAATGTAAATTTATACACTTGAATTAATGTGTTGTTGGCACAAAAAATATAAACTCAAAATGTGCAGCCGTCCACGTTAGCTTAGAAATCAAATCACACAATTAACTAAAAGCCACAAAATGTACTCCAGAAAAAAGAAAAGAAAAGAAAAAAGCCTGCCCCGTGCATGCACATCTCCTACTATAAAGGAGAAAGAGATAAATTTCCTAAATAATTACATTAAAGAAAATAAAAAAAAGCTAAAAAATGAAATAGTCTTTAAATGAACATGCAATTTCCAAGAAAAACCAGCATGGCATGCAAAGACTACTTCATTTTTACTCATTCTTGTGCTTCAAATTCAACACATACACAACACAAAAATATTATCCCCAGCAAGATATCGATATATATATATATGTATAGATCCTTTTGACACCTTATCTATAATTTTGATCACATTAATTTAATCATTGCATAACATACAAGATACAATACTAATGAATTGCGGAAAACAGAAAGAAAGCGTGTGAGTGAATCAAGAAAATTTATCTGTATCGTCTCCTAGGTCGTAGCTGCATGTGCCAACACGAGCTATACATGGCATCTCCAAACTGTCGATTTTAGGACCAAAAAACCCTAATATCAACAAAAGCTAATAGGAGGAAACCCTTAAAAATTATATTTGGACATAAAATATCAGAAAAAAAAAGGAGAAAAAATAGATTAAAAAAAATAATGTATAATTTGTTTTACGTGAACTATATATTTTATAATGAATTTTTTAACTTACAATTTTAAAGATATCTTTTTGTAATAAATGTATATAAAAAAATATAAAAATAAATGTTAATTTTAGAGTCAACGTCACCTTAATAAATTTAAATACACAATTAATAAATTAAATATTATTTTTTATTTTTTTAAAACTCTTAAAAGTATATATTAAAAAAAATTTTATAATTATTTAAAAAAATCAGCTCTTTAATATTAAAGCGATTAGTTTTCATACAATAATTATAAAAATGTGGGATCAACACATCAGCACGGATTACAAAACTGCAAATTCAAAAAGATTATTGTGCATTTAAAACTTGGGTCGTCCAATCAATAGCGAAAATCTCAAGAAGGTTTTAGTAGCTGTTTTTCCAAACCCTTGCTTTCGGAACAATCAAATACTACTCCATGATGAAAATTATTTCTTACTTTCTTGGGATCGTTTATTGCTTTAAATTAAGTTTCGATTCCAGTCTCATTTCTGCATATACTTGCCTTTTACGATAGCTTTAACCATCCCCGGCGGCGTCGTCACCGGCCGTCAACTTTCTACGTCACATCACCGTGTGTCCCGTTGACACGTACGCCCCATTCTCATATTTATCCCCCTTCACGTACAAAGATGGGCGCTTTGCTATCTCTCTGCTCTCACAAAATTCCATGTGTTCATGTACAAGGAGAAGTATATTGGAAGAGACGTAGTGGTGAAGAAGATTAATTAATCAAGAGGTCGTTGTCTAGCTAGATCGGATGGCTTCGTCCAACGGCGGTGTGCCTCCAGGATTCCGCTTCCACCCGACGGACGAGGAGCTGCTCCATTACTACTTGAAGAAGAAGGTTTCGTTTCAGAAGTTTGACATGGAGGTCATCAGGGAGGTTGACTTGAACAAGATGGAGCCATGGGAATTGCAAGGTAAAAGAGTTGTTTATACCTCCGATTATAAGCTCTCAATCAATAAATATTAATTAGTTTCTCAAGTCCTTTATGCTGATGTGATTACACACACAGACACTACAACATCATAAAATCCATAGGAAGAAGAAGAGAAAGTAATTAATTTATCCTTTTTTTTAGAGTAATTTATATTTCAAAAAGATTAGTATTATGAAAAAATTAGTATAATTATAGTAATTTATTTGTTTTTATAGGAATATAAATGATGGAGTTTTGAATTTAAAATATGAGATTAGTGTTTATCTACCTTAAAAATTAAAAAAATTTTGAAATTAAGTAGTTTTAACAAAGTATTATAGAAAAGGATTTATTGAAATAACGTAATTTTAAAATGACTTTTTTTTAGTCTTTAAAAAATAAGGCAAACAAATACGATGGATATGTATTATTTCCTTAAAATATACTTTAACAAGAAATTTCCATCAAATTCTTATTTGTTAAAATTGTTTATAAATGTGTAATTTTTATTTAATTTCAAGGTAACAAATTATTGAATGTGAGGAAGTTATTAATAAAGATTTAGGGAACTATTACATCGATAAACTTTGATCACGAGATGTTTTATCTCAATATTATTTGGTTTACATAGGATTGATAAATAGCTCAATTTAGTATGGTTATTATTTTGCTTATAGTATTGGTTGCTTATAAATTTAAAAGAATTAAAACAGAAAAATTCATACAAAATGGCTCATAATTTAAGAAAACATTTGGAGAAAGGGAAAAACGACCCACATCTATACGAGAGAGTCAGCCTTTAAGTTGTAGAGGTGCAACCTCAAATTGAGGTCCTAACCAATTGATCACCTATCTATATATAGGGCTTAATTGGCTTCCAACTACAGAAATTTGTTCTTCATTTTCCATGTGAATTGTATTATTCTTAGGAATTGAACGGTTAAATTAAATTGCTCCTTTTTGATGTATAGAGAGGTGTAAGATTGGTTCAACGCCACAAAATGAATGGTACTTTTTCAGTCACAAGGACAGGAAGTATCCAACAGGGTCGAGGACGAACAGGGCAACTAATGCAGGGTTTTGGAAGGCAACCGGCAGAGACAAGTGCATAAGGAATAGCTACAAGAAGATTGGTATGAGGAAAACCCTTGTTTTCTATAGAGGCAGAGCTCCCCATGGCCAAAAGACCGATTGGATCATGCATGAGTACCGCCTTGAAGATGGCGATGATCCTCTAGAAAGTGTAAGTTTCTCCTTCCACATGGAACATTATTTATGCTTTTAAACCCAAGTCGAATTTAACTCTTCATCTCTATACATATATAGGAAGATGGCTGGGTGATATGCAGGGTGTTCAAGAAGAAGAATCTGTTCAAGATAACGAACGATGCAGGCGGCTCTTCAAGCATGAATTCATCCGACCAACAACTCAACAGCACCACCATCCAACCCCGCACCTTCATGCACAGAGACACCCAATACCACAACCTCCTCCGCCACCAACATAACTTCGAACTAAACAAGCCCACCGACTTAGCCCTCCACCCCTACCCCCACATCCCTCAATACTCCCTTTTCCAAGGCCAAGCCCTAGTTCCCTCTGGCCACAAGCCCCTTAGCTACGACTACTCGGCCATGCCGTCTGAGCCTCCTTTGATGGTCAAACAGCTCATGACAAATCCTAGAGAGTGTGAGAGTGGGAGTGAGAATATTGGGTACCAAGCATGCGAGCCGGGGTTGGAGGTTAGCACCTGTGAAGCAAATCAACAAATGGTTGGTGGGCGGTCCGATGAGGGTATGAATGAATGGGCTATGCTTGATAGGCTTGTTACGACTCAAATTGGAAATGAGGAGTCTTCAAAAGGGGTGAGGTTTGATCAGGATGCTAATGCTTCATCATCTGTGCACCCAATGAGCCAGCTTTCGTTGAGAGGGGAGATGGATTTTTGGGGCTATGGGAAATAGTTTTTTTTTTTTTTTTAATGTATTTTTGTTAATTTGGAAATCAAGTTTGTGGGTAATTTAGAACCATATATATATGGCTCTGACCTTGTTTATGAACAAAATGGGAAGGGGGGGAATTATATTCTGAATATATATGATTGTTTTTATGGAGTTTGGTTGATTCTATTAGCTTGTTAAGTACATTTGTATTTGTATTAATGGATTTTGTACATGTAATATTATTTAAATATACGTTATATATTCCTTCTTATGTGTACAAAAGGTGTAATTTCCTTCTTATGGATTTTTTGCAGTTGTTTGAATTTAAGGCTTGATTTAGTAGGAATTGTTTCATTGTTTTATCTTGCTGCGACTGCTCACCATGCCAATAATTATTGAACTACAGTAAATTCATTCAATCAAGAAATATTCTTTGCCCTAATAGTCTTGGTCGGTTAACAATATGCATTAAATAGTTTGGCCTATATTAAGATTTAAGTTTTTATTAAAACGGTTATAATATTTTTTTTTTCCAAAATTCTCATTAAAAAAGAAAAAGAAAAAGAAAGAAGAAAACAATAGTTTTTGTTTTTGTTTTTTTTTTTCTAATATTAATCTATTAGTATCTAATAATTACATTAAATTTTAATTAATTTAGAATCGAACCGTATTAGACTCCATAAAAAAAAACTTTCTTAATATCTGTTTACACCTAAAATAAACTAATGAGAGAAAACCACGTGTCAAGTTGAAGCCCAATTATCAAGAAAAGTTAGCAGGTTGGATTTGAGTTGGGCTGGATTACAATTTAAAGAGCCAGACGAAATTTTAAAGAAGCTGGATTTTAGGTGGCAGAAGATAAAATAACTTCTGGTATTTGAGTTTGATTTAAGTTAGGAAGTTGAGAGTTTTTAGGAGGAGGTTATCTCTAGGGTTTTATTGGGGATAAGATTGAGTAAAAACTGTCAACTGTCAGACAGTTGCCAGACATGGAACCCCCACTACTCGATCATGGTGGGAGAGGGCCGAGAAACATGGAGGAGGTTTACCAACACGAAAGAAAAGAAAAACATGAGGAAGAGATCAATTACAGACGGCCTGCCCTACACACATTGACCAGAGCATGTTTTTCAACTTTTAGACTACTTTTTCCACATTTTAACAATAGTTTCCAGATTAGTTTGCAAGATCTGTTCTTGTTTATAGCCTTAGTTTAGGTTTTTTCCATCCTTGTTCATGTCTTTCCTCAAAGATTTCAACTTAGGTTAGTTTTTAAGCATTTGGAAGCAATTCAACCTTCAAAACAGATCTGCCCTGTTGATTTGGTTAGTTCTTATTTCTTTTATGGATTCGGCTATGTTATTTGTTCATGTAAATAGGTTGAATACTTTCTGCCTTTGTTCTTTTGTTTCTGCACAATAGCTAGACATGCAGTTTACTTAATTTCAATTTTCAAATTTAATTATATAAGTTTTCAAACTTTAATTATTTCGTAGTTTCTTCTTCAGTTTTAGTTATCAAGTAGTTTAGCTATTTTTATTTTAAATCTGCAAGTAATTAAGTTTAATTGCTATGGATTGCATAGTAAAAATCATTGTCTGTGATTTTACATTTTCTGTTATCTGCGAATTTTATTTTTATGACATGTTGTTTTCTTCTATTAATTTCATGTTAGATTAGTTGCCTTAAGATTTTGTGTTAATTTTAGGATTTGTAGTTTTTATTACACTTTTGTGGTTATAAAGTTCTTGGAGGTTTTCAAAGCAATTAATAACCCATTTTGCAAAACTCCACCCTTTGTTTTGCAATATTGTCTATAACACAATTTATTTCACATATGTTCTTTCCGACCATCCCATTAGAGATCGACCGTTGAAAGAGTTATTTGGAAAATCCTGTTTTCTTATTGTTAGACAAAGCAAATGGCATGTCTAACATCCAAATTCACGTGGTAAAGACCGGTTGAGGATTTTTGGAAAAACAATATCTGTCTCTCCATTTACAAAAAATCAAACTTAAGATTTTGAAAAATTGAGTTCTTACGCTCCGAGCAACCGATGGTGGTCTTGTTTTCTAAATGGAAGCATCCGATGATGGTGGTCTTGTTTTCTTTGTTCATCCAAATGGAACCATACAACCCAAAGTGTTGCTAGAAAAGCTTTTAAGAGAGGGTTGGAAGAGAAATTATCAATTTAGGAGTCTACAAAAGCAACGGTTGATTTCTGGGTGAAGGGTAAAATAGTCCTTACAATATATATTTTTTTAATCATCGTGGCATTAGCAATGTCTATCGTGGCAATAACAGTATCTTTCCCTTGTTACAGACATAGTGAGAACAGAGATCATTCATGGTAATTCTGAAGTAATTCTCTGCAATCGGGAGTTCCATATCATTATTTGCAATGGACGTAGAAGAAGGCGACGCTGGTGGTTCTCCAGTGGCTTCAGAACCTGCCATTGACGCAGTCTCTGAACGAGACAAAGATGTAGCAGATAAAGAAACCGGAGAGGTTCAAGATGAGATTCAGGGTGAAGCTGATGATGATGAAGCTGATGATGACGAAGATGAGGACGACGATGAGGAATATGCGTTTAGGTTCAAAAGTGGGACAAACCCTTTGGATTTTGTGGGGGATGATTCTTCTGGGGTCCAACTTTATCAACAATTTGAGCGCCTTGAGTATGAAGCTCTGGCTGAGAAGAAGCGCAAAGCACTTGCAGATAGCCAGGGGTAAATTCAACTTCTTTTATTTATTTATTTATTTATTTTTTTGCTTACAATATTCAACTTATAGGAAACTCTTTATTGATGAAGTAGACTGAAGAATTTTTTGGTTTCCTACTCCTGCAATGTTGTAAATTTGTGGGAAAATTTATTAACTTTTGTGGTGTGTAGGACATGGAGTCCTACATTCATGTTTCTGCAAGTTTCCTGCACATAAATTAACTTTTAGTATTGTGGGATTTGACATGGGGCCTTACTGTTTGTTCAAATAAACCACTGATTTGTGTTAATGAGGTGTTTTTGTTTATCCTCGTTAATTTATTAGATAAATTTATTTGTCTCCCATCTCTCTTTCCCAGATACTTATTGTTGATTTGACACTTTTGCGTTTTATGTTGACAAAAAGTGAAAGATTAGCAAAGAAGGCCAGGCAAGAGGATATTCCTGAAGCCGCTATGGATGTAATAATGGAAGCCATGAATTGTGGCAGTCGAAGAAAATCAAGGAAGGTGTGTATGGCAGTTTTCATCTATTGAAAATCATTCTCATTGTTAAATACCAATCAAATTTTATGATTTGTGCAGCCTAAAAAACGAGGTAGGAGAAAAGGTTCCAAGAATAAACTCAGCCCTGAAATTTCACGTATGCTTGGTAATGCCACGCTTCACTATGCACATGGTCGCCACAAAGAGGTGAGGTATTTCAATGATAGCTATTCATGTTGTTTTTGTGTAATTTATGGGTTAAGAAAGAAATTTAGCCATTCATGTTGTTTTTGTATAATTTATGGGAAGCAAGAACTAAGAAATTATGAGTTGTTTGAGTGATAGCTATTTTTATTTGAAAGAATTTTCTTAAGCTGCTGGGTAAGTGAGAATAGAATAATGGATTGTAATAGCTAAAACATGAGGAAAAGTCAGTAGTAGCTATTACTGTAGAAGATGAATAGCTGTTCCGTGGAATAGATATTCCACCAGAATGGCCAACCAAACAGGGAATAGCTATTCCTTGGAAGAGCCACTCTTCTGGAATTGATTTCAAATGGAATGGCTATTCCAGAAACAAACATGACCCTAGTGTTGGATTTCATTTTCAGTATTTTGGTTGCAGGCTATATCCATTTTGAATGAAGTTGTAAGGCTAGCGCCAAATTTGCCTGATTCATACAATATGCTTGGACTAGTGTATAAAGCACTTGGCAATCATAAAATTGCCTTTGAATTCTATATGCTCGCTGGACTTCTTAAACCGAAAGATTCATCTCTGTGGAAGTTGCTTCTTTCCTGGTCCATGTAAGTGAGTTTCATGTAGAAGTTTGTATGGTTATTCCTGCTTTATTGTTTGAATAACATGAAAAAGTCTTTTAGCTCTTCTTTGCAATATGAGAAGTACTGGAGTATTCCAGAGATGGGTTAAAAAATAGAATTTTCATTATCTTGAGGTTTCACTTTCTGGTTCTTCTTAGTGTTTGAACTGTTGCATTTGTCTAATGCAGAGAGCAAGGGAATGTTAGTCAAACTTGCTACTGTCTTTCTAAAGCAATTACCGCAGATCCTAAAGATATTGACCTGAGATTTTATCAAGCATCATTGTATGCTGATCTTGGAGATTATAAGAAAGCTGCTGAGTCATATGAGCAAATTCAACAACTCTCTCCTCAGAATGTTGAAGCGTTGACAAGTGGGGCAAAGGTTTGCCTTGATCTTTTGTTGTTAAGAGTGATATTAATTTATTTCTCAAACCTTTTATTCAGATGGCTGCTTGCTTTATGTGTTTCCATTACCTTGAAACACTGAAATGGTAATGGTATTTTATTTCAGTTATACTTAAAATGTGGTCAAGTGGAACATGCCATTGATATTTTGGAGGACTATCTCAAAAGTTGTCCATCTGAAGCTGATTTGAGTGTGGTTGAGCTGCTTGTTGCTATTCTGATGGAAATTAAGGCATATGAGAGAGTTCTTAAACAAATTGAGCATGTCCAGACAGTTATTTATTCAGGGAAAGAACTGCCACTGAAATTGAAAGCTAAATCTGGAATATGTTACCTTCACCTAGGAAATATGGAGAAGGCAGAGGTCTGTTACATCTGCTTTCTTATGTTGTTTTTCCTTTTAATAGTCAGCAAAAACTGTTTATGCTTCATTATACTATTATTGCATCATTAAATTTCGTTTGAACTTGTATCTTTTTAGCTATATGCATGTAGTTGCTTCTCTACTCTTTCTGTACAGCTTGAGGTAATCTTGGGTAACAGTTCTTTTGTTCTTTAAAGTTTTAAGATTTACAATTCCTGCAGCATAAAGAGCTTCACTTCTTTTAGCATTTATGTTTCTTAAAATTTAACCTCATTCTATTGTGGTGGGATGAAAAGTAATGTTTTTGGTATAACTAAATGACCATACCATAAGGATGTGTTCCACTTTCTTCAGAAGTGTTTGCTAATGATTAATTTCTGTTGCATTTTCTTAATATATAATTATTTAGCATAAAGTATTTTTTTGATTGGCATGTTTAGCTTAAAGTAATGATATCATGAAAGGCTGTTTTGCTTTCTCATAAAACTAAAGGGTTTTGATGGCATGCATTTTGAATATAGATATCCTTCCTGTTTGAACCTAATCCATTTATTGTTTTCTAGATCCTTTATGATGTGTTGGAAGTTGGCAGAGCAAATGATCATAAAGATTTGATTACTGAGGTTGCAGACTCATTCATGAGTCTTGGCTATTTTAGCTCTGCATTGAAGTTTTATCATGCTTTGGAGATAGATGATGGACTTGACAAGGTAAAGAAAACTAGTTCTGTTTCATCCTTCAATTGATATGTCCATGATATCCCTCTGGTTTCTTTGCTTTCCTTGCAACAGTAAACTGTTTTGCTTATTCTCCTTTGGTTTCTTGGATTTCCTTCCAGCAGTAAACTATTTACTGCATACGCACCTTCTATGATGTTTCTTTTCAATGTTTACTAATGATTTGTGTTTTCTTTATGCACCAGTAGAGCTTAGACCAAACAAAAACTAATGATTTGCTATCAGGGGTTAATAAAACCTCAATATCTTCATGGGGTGGAAGGAAAATATGTGTTTATATGGTTTTTCTCTTTCTCTTTTTTTTTTGGATAACATGTTATCTGGGCCTTTGGCTCATTATAACTTAATTCATATTTGATGGCCACCAGCTTATGCACTTTATAATCATAAATTTTCAACTTATAAATAGAGCTGGGAATAACTTTCTTCTCTTAAGTCATTTTATGGCCTATATATATATATATAGGTGTAAACTTACCTGGTCATCTGTTTCCTTTTTAAATAAATAAATTAATGATGTTTTTTGATTTATACTATCGATTTTCTTAAACAGGGAAATTTGCATCTGAGAATTGCTCAGTGTTACTTATCCTTGAAAGAAAGAGAAAAAGCCAAGGACTTCTTTTACAAAGGTGATATAAACTTGTAATTGGATGTGTGCAACCAAAGCTTACACTGCTTTGCATAATATTACTAGATGAGATTACTTTTTAGAATTAGTTTCATAGTGTTCATGTTGAGAGTTGTGCATGAAGTGTATGGAAACGGTCACAGAGAAGATATAAACTAGGAAGTGCACATAGAATATTGTTTTCTAGGCTGTCATATTTATAAGTTACCCCAATATGTTTTGCTGTGTCACTACGTTTTGACATTTTGAGAAGCATCACAATCTAGTGATTGTCTCTAGTGCTATGCTATCCAAAGTGTTTTTGTGAGAATGCCCCATAACATTGTTCAAGAAATGTTAAAATTTGGTTTATACTATTTTTTGATGTGTAAAATGTATGCATAATTGGCTAGTGGGGCTTTGAGATGATGTTAAAAACAATATGGATTCCGATATTGAGGAGATGCCTATTGATGAGGCTTATTACTAAGAGATTCTTTTGTCTTTTTTTTTTTTTTTTGAAACTGTCATTTTGATTATGAAAAAAATTTCAGCTCTGCATGGACTTGAAGATAATATTGAAGTCCGTTTAACTTTGGCTACACTACTTCTTGAAGATGCTAAAGAAGACGAAGCATTTCCTTTAGTATCTCCTCCGGATAACTCAGGTATTTTTATTTTAATTTTTTTCCTTATACTTGATTAATGTACTATAGAACTATGCTAACTAACTTTCTCTTTGCTTTTTTGTCACTTGGACTCAGAAGGTGTTAATCTGAATTCTGATAAATCCAAACAATGGTGGGTTGATCCAAAAATAAAATTTAAGCTTTGCCAGGTTTATAGAGCCAAAGGGATGACCAAGGAGTTTGTTGATACAATTCTACCTTTGGTTCGTGAATCACTTCTTGCTGAAAACTACTGGCGTCGACACAAGGTAATGTCTTCACTCTCAAGTGTCAAAACTGTGATATCAGGAATTTATTGATATGTATGTTAAGACTAGTCAAAGTTTTAAAGGTCTCATAAGAGTTTCTTTGCTCATTTGGCATCCTGGACACATCAGCTAAGGTTTAATAAACTCTGAAATCATTACATCTCTTAGCGTGTCATGATTTTAACATTTTAAATGTATACTATTTTATAAAAAATATCAAAGTCAGTATGTATCATTTGTTTGATAATTCTGGTCCAAATGAATACTATGTACCTGAGTATGGTATTCTGATCCAAACTGATATAATTCCTAGATTCTTGTTTCTTGTGCTTTCAAACTCTTACTGTAGCTCTCACTGTTGTAACCAAATATCTAAGCTTTTTGTTTAATTATGGTTCTTGTTTAGATTAAGGTGAAGAAAAGGCTAACAGAAAGCGTTTTGAATCAAAGAGTTAAGAAGGTGGATTGTTTTCAAAGTGATGGTGTGATTCGTGGGTCAATATCCTCAGCAACTCCATCAGACAGGTGAGTTGGAATATATATATATATTGGAATTATTTATCTTCATTTCTCCGTTTCTATTTTTTAATGAAATCTTAATGAAAAATTCTCTTGAAATCTTTCGAAAATTAATAAGACTAGCCAACAAGGAAGGCAGCAAAAAAATTATTGATACCCAAGATGTCAATGCCAGAAAATATGGTGTTTCATCCACTGGGAATCTGGGACTTAAAAAATTTGGGAAGGGAAATTGAAGTTATTCCCCATTATGATTTTTTAGTTCAGAGCTTTGATTTTTTAGGATTTAATGTATAAAGCATGACTCTTGCAACCTTTGTTTCTGTTCCTGCTTTGAAGCATTCAAAGTTTTGATTCTCCCATTGGGGCTGTGATGTTTTCTGACATTCAATACTGGTTTTTTCATATTACCATTAACAGTACTGAAAATAGTTAGTTTCCCCAGTCCTTTTTATTTCATTTGAATAAACTTGACGTAGAATATTAGTTTGTCTATTATCCTGTTATATTCCTATAGTGCAGATTATTGACTCTGTTTGATTATCTATGGTCTAAAAATAGGTTAAAAGCTTCTAGGGCAAAGAAATTACTTCAAAAGAAAGCAGCTTTGAAGGAAGAAAAGAAAGCAGCAGCAAAAGCTGCTGGAGTTGATTGGCATAGTGATAATGATAATGATAATGATGAACCTCAGGTAACTGGTTAAGATGAATTTGGTTTTTCAACATTATAAGGTTTGAGATTTGAGTCTGAGTGGCTGATCAAGTGGCATCTATATATATATAAATCGTTTTCAGGAGGAACCACCTAAAGAGGCTCCTCTGCCTAATCTTCTGAAAGATGAGGAGCATCGTTGCCTTATCAAAGATGTTGGTCCTCTTATCTTCTTTTCTCCCAAAATTTGAAATCCCTGCCTAAGTTTATATATTTCTATTTAAAAAGGATTTTGACTCCTTAGTTCTATATATATAAATTTTTTTTAGTTATGCAAGGCATTGGCATCTTTGCAAAGGTATTATGAGGCATTGGAGATAATCCAGCTTACATTGAAGTTGTGTCAAAACACTTTGCCTGCAGAGGTGGAAGAGTTTCGGTCACTTGGAGCTCGTAAATCCTGAAATTTATTCTTTAAGATTGGTTTATCCATCAATTATTTTTCTCCACTTTATTATCAGTATTTGAACCAACACACTAATCTTTAAAAAGTTAATATATTTTTTCTTCTTTATAGTGATTAATTTATTCTTGTGCTAACTACTGAGCTCTATTGATTCTGCAGAAATGGCATACAGCACTATGGATCCCAAGCTTGGGTTTGAGTATGTAAAACACATTGTTTCGAAGCATCCTTACAGCTTTGCTGCTTGGAACTGTTATTACAATGTAGTTTCGAGGTATTGTTCTTAGATGTGCACCTATCACATTATTGTGTTTTTTTATCCATTATCGTAGCATTTGTTAAAATTAAGTATCCTGCTTTTCTTCCCAGATGTCTATCCTTTTATTATTACATTGTTCTTATTGGGTTTTACCTCCTTGTATCTGCCATCGATGCTGGGTTTGCTGTTGCAATTTTTTTGGTGTATATATATCTCTTGCTTTATGGGCAGATCCATTATTTTGTTTTAACACATGTATACTGGTTCAGTTTTATATACGTCCTCAGTAAAAGTTCTGGACAGAAAAGCAATAGATTATATTTTCAGGTTACAGAAGTAGCCATTTGAAACATAATTTGAAATTGGTTATACTGTCTTTCGATGACATTTTACTGTTTACTAGAGTGGCTGGCAATTGTATTGGTCTCTGGTCTCAAATAATAGTGTGTCAGAGAAAGCTTGTATGTTAATTCAGTGTGCCTGGATGCGATCCTAAACCATTCTTCTTTTGCCTTTCATATTTCATCATTGTTTTATATTTGAAGATTTTACACTACATAATTTCATTAAAGATGAACATATTTTAGGAGGATAGTCTTCTCCTCTGCCCATAGAAAAGGGGGAAACTCTTCTTTTAGATTATATTGCCTCCTTTTTATGATACTATAGTTGGAGATTAAGTGTTGATCAGTGGAACTAAGTCTTCAGTCTTTTTGAATCTATGGCAAAATATATCCTGTTGTTTTCTGGTGTAAGATCTCCATTAAAATTTGTATAACTCTATTGTAAAGTCATGGCTGTTTAAAGGAATAGAATTCTTGTCAATCATAACCTTTACCTGCATATGGGCTTTTATGCTAATCCTGCATTGTTATTTCCTTTTCTTTTGTCCCTGAGTTTCTTCATTATGCAGGCTTTCTTTTTCAAGTTGCTTGCACAATGCTATCAAATAGGAACGTGTTTCTCTTTCTAAGATCTTGTCTTTTAAATTCAGATTCTTAAGCCATCCAAAATGGGGGAAGATTTATTCTAAGTTTCTGCGTCATATGAGGGGAAAATGCAAAGACTCAGTTCCAGCCACTCTCATTGCTGGGCATCAGTTTACCATGGGTAGCCTTCATCAAGATGCCGCAAGAGAATATCTTGAAGCATATAAAATGTTGCCAGAAAATCCATTAATTAATTTATGCGTTGGTATGCTGTTTCTTTGCTCCTCTCCCCCACCCCCTCGGGCCCCCTTCTTGTTAATAATAGTCTGCCTCTTATGCTTGTCAACTATTTATATTAAATCCATTATTGTCAAACATTTGATTCTTTTATTTAACTTGCAGGAACTGCATTGATCAACTTATCCCTTGGATTTAGACTCAAAAACAAACATCAGACTATTGCCCAAGGCTTGGCATTCCTCTATAACAATTTGCGACTTTGTGAGAACAGCCAGGTTAGCCATTGTTGGCATAGTCTCTTAACTATTGTTGAACAACTTAACCCTTGGATTTAGACTCAAAAAGAAACATCAGACTATTGCACAAGGCTTAGCATTCCTCTCTCTATACAAGAAGACTTTGGGTTTATTAAATGAATTACTATATATGGAAAACCATTGAATCCATTTTAAGCTACTGCTACAGGTGGCCAAATGTAGCAAGCAAACTGGCCAATGCCACATCCTCATGATATTCATATATTTTTCATTAACTTTGTGCAGGAGGCATTATATAACATTGCCCGAGCATGCCATCATGTTGGACTTGTGACCCTGGCAGCTTCATATTATGAAAAGGTGCTTCAAACTCCTGAGAAGGATCACCCAATCCCAAAACTTCCCAATGAAAGCTGGGACGTGGCGGAGAATCAGCTTCAACATGGTTACTGTGACCTTCGCAGGGAAGCAGCTTTCAATTTGCATTTGATCTACAAAAAGAGTGGAGCAGTGGATTTGGCAAGGCAAATCTTGAAAGACCATTGCACCTTTTGATTTACTGTCATTGACAATTGAGAAAGACTGGTAAATTTTCCTTTTAGTAAAATGCAAATACTCTGATGTTATTATATATTAATACATATAACCATTGTTGGAAGTCCTCTCCAACAATAAACATAGATGGGGTGTCAACAAAGTTCAAATTTTCATAGATCACCACAATCATATCGAGTATGAGCAGTTGGATCTCTGAAAAGGATCATCATTAGTGCAATACTCATAATCTTCACAATTGAGGAAGAGGATTGATGGAGGGAACCAATAAGGTAAGTTTGCAAAGACAATTTCACCAGTCTCATTCTCCTTTCATTCACAAATCGATCCATTGCCTCTCCAATAGCATTCTGTGTTACCCTCATGTGCCTGCCTTCTGCTTTTAAATCAACTTGATGAAGTTTTTGTGCCAAGCACCTAGCAAGAACAATGGCATCTTCCAAAGCAGCAGAGCCACCCTGCCCTAGAAATGGACCCATCACATGCATGGCATCCCCGGCTACGGTCACTGTTCCTTTTCGAAACTTCCCAAGTAGTATGTCCCATGGGGCACGATATCTCAAGTGAGTGAGGGACAGTTTTCCTGGGTCACTTCTTCTCACCATTTCTACCATTTCTTCTGGAAAGGCTTCTATTGATTCAAGTGTCAATTCTCGAATCAACTCTGGATCCTTCGAAATATTTGAATCTAAATAATATGGAAAACCAACACATAATTATATAATTTAACCAACGAGTAGGAACAGGAAGGGTTATATAACTTATTCATCACTTATACCCAAAAAAAGGAAAAAAAAAAAAAAAATCGAAAGGTACCTGTTGGATATCCTTCTTGACCACTAACAAACCAGTAGACAAGGTTATGATCAATAGGGATTCTTCCAACCAGGAAATTCTCCCTTCGGAACCGGACGAATTCATGGGGTAAACCATGACCACTGGGGTAACATGTTAGACCTCTAACTGACCGTATGGAGAAAAGCTTTGGTGGTTTCAATTCAAGAAAATCTGCAACTGCTGAATGTGCTCCATCGCACCCAATCAAAATCTGCTTGCAGTACGTATGTCATATAGAGAAGTAATTTATATTACTACAAAGAATTGGTTAAAATCTACGTACCTTGGCCTTGATAATGCTTCCACTCTGCAGTTGAATTAGTGGGTATGAAGTTAGAGGATCGGATTTAACCGAGAGCACTTGGCATCCAAAACGGATGGTGCCATGAGGTAGATTTTCAGCAAGAGTTGTGACAAGATCACCACGCTGAAGACATCTTACTTCTCCGTCCCTGATTAATGAGTAATTAAATATATATACTCATAGGTCAATGAGTAATGATATTTGCATATGTAACAAGACTGGTGTAATTACTTACATAAGTTGTGTAGTGCCTTGCTTGTTTTCATGAAGCCATATTTCACTTGCCCTATATAAACAAAAATATTACAATTAAAGTTTGATCAAGTTAGTATTCACTAACTTAAAAATTTTGATTTAGGGTCAAAGTCAAAGATTCAAATTTAATTTTTGTATTAACAAATAACTAATTCTTTGATGTATCATAAAAAAAAAAAAAAAAAAAACTCAAATTATATACAAATGTGTTGGAAGAAAGTCCAACCCCATGTGTGAACCCATGGACTTTTTTGTGTGGAAGTTTGCTTCACCAACCTAGCTATTTGTGGGCTAGGATTGCTTTGTTGAAATCATGCAAGATTGCATGTTGAGCCATTTAATGGGCAAAGAAAATCTTGGCCGGGTGGTAATGAGGCAAAGAAAAATGGTGCATGGGTGGTTGGATTTTTCACTGTAAATACCCATGCATGCAAAGGCAATGGAAAAGCAAGAGTAGGAGAAAGCAAGAGAAATTGAGGGAGAGGAGAGAAAAGAAAGAGAGAAATTGTGAGAAATCCTTGTGTAGATTAAGAGGAAGTATTAGGGAGAATTTGGGAGTTTCTATACATTGAAGCTAGGGTATTGAGTGCTTCTTGAGTGACAGAGCTTCTAAATTATTGTACTCTTTTTCTTAATAGTGGATTTATTTCTCTCTTTCCCATGGACGTAGACTTATTGAGAGGTGAACAAATCAAACCACGTTAAATTATTGTCTCAATTTCTTTATCGCTTCCGTTTGTGTGAGATTGTGGTGCTCGAAATTCTCAACAAAATGATCAAATTATCATATATATAATGGGAGTGAATATATCTGAGAATGAGACCTATGAATGGGAAGAGCAGTCTGCCTGAGCTTTGAAGCAACACCAAGCTGATCAAGAGCACGCCAGCCGTTGGGAAGAACACCGATCGCGGCTCCTGTTGCCCGAAGAGTCTCCGATCTTTCCAGAACTACGCTTTTGATTCCCTTCCTAATTAATTATTCCAAAACTTAATTAGCACAAACTAATTATATATATATGATGTAAATTAAAATGAAGACAGAAACAAGAAATTGATCACCTGTGAAGAGCAAGGGCTGTAGCGAGACCACATATCCCTCCTCCAGCTATAACAATGTCTATTTCTTCTTCTCCACACTCCATTTCCCTCCTCACACTTAATCTCCTTTTTTGCATCTCTAACAATGCAGATATAAATACAGCTCAGTTTCTTCCTTCTTAAGAAAATAGTGCTTTCATCATCAATGAGGTGTCATTTAGTTTACTTTTATTTTGTAAATTAGTTTTCTTTAATGAAATTATTAATTATTATTTTTTACAAGTCGTGGATACATCATCTAGAACGATATTACGATAAAGTGATGTAATTCTATGAATCAAGTCTTATACTTCAAGGTAAAGAAACAACCAAACAAAATGAGTATACTCTCGTTATGAGTTTATATAATATAAACTCTCAATTTACTAAGCCCACCCCAAGACCATAATTATCACTAGCAACATGTTTTGACATCATCTTGCAATTAAAAGATAAGCATAGTAATTACATGGATTTTTACATATTTAAATCACTCTTCACACTTTTATTTTTTTAAAGTAAGACTCTTGTTTTTTTAAGTAAGACTCTTGTTTTTTTAATAATCACGAGGGAATACAAACGTCAACAGATTACATTGGGCATGTGAAGGCAGCAAAAGAGATATTACAAGGACAATGATTGGTGTACACCTGAATCCAATACCTGAGTGTGCACCCCAACATAAAAAAAAAAAGAATTGAACCGGTGATGGGTATTTTTTTTTTTTATATGATGTGTGCACACCTGGTGTTGGATCCGGGTGTGCACACATCATTTTCCATATTACAATAATAACAAACCAACGTAGCCATAAGCTAGAACTCAACTTCGCTCAATACTCACACACAAGTCTTAATTCTAATACTAATAACATGCCCCTCCAATTGTGTTTTGTAATAATTAAGCAACAAAATCTCACAGATCTCCACAGAAATATTGAGAATGAGCATTTTGATCTTTGAAAACAATCATCATCAATGCCACAATAGTAAACTTTGCAAGTGAGGAAGAAGATTGGAGTTGTGAACCCAACAGGTAAGCTTGCAAAGACAATTTCGGCAGTCTTATTCTCCTTTCCTTCACATATTGATCAATTGCCTCCCCAATAACATTCTGTGTTATCCTCATCTGCCTACCTTCTGCACTTAAATCAACTTGATGCAGTTTTTGTGCCAAGCACCTAGCAAGAACAATGGCATCTTCCATAGCAGCAGACCCACCCTGCCCTAGAAATGGACCCATTACATGCATGGCATCTCCAGCTACAGTAACTGTTCCTCTTCGAAACTTGCTTAATAGTATGTCCCATGGGGCACGATATCTCAAGTGAGTGAGGGTCAGTTTTTCTACATAACTTCTTCTCACCATGTCTACCATTTCTTCAGGGAAAGCTTTTATCGTTTCAAGTGCAAATTCTCGAATGAATTCTAGATCCTTCGAATCTATATATGTATAATACGGAAAAATCAACACATAAACTGTAAATGTATAAATTAAAGCAAAAATTAAATAGTGAAAAGAAATTGCATGGCATGACTAACAAAGGAATAATCAGGCCTTGAGTGACGGCCAATAAGAAAAGGTACTAAGATACATATATATAATTAAGTAGGTGGTGGGTGGTCGAAATATATATATGAGTACCTGGAGGATATCCTTGGTGAGAAACAAACCAGTGGACAAGCTTATCATCCATCGGGGCTCTTCCGACGGTGAAATTCTCCCCTTGAAATCGGACAGACTCGGTGGGCAGACCATGACCACTGGGGTAACACGTAGACCTCTAATTGCCCATAAGTTGAAAAGCTTTAGTGGTTTCAATTCAAGAAATTCTGCAACTACTGAATGTGCTCCATCGCATCCAATCAAAATCTGCAGGCAGTATATATATTTGTAAACAATAAGTAATTCTAGAAATTAATTAATTAATTAATAGGTTGTTTAAAATAATTAAATCTACCCTTAAATTAAAATGTACGTGTATATATATATATATATATATATAGCTTGGCCTTCATAACACTTCCATTATGCAGTTGAATTAGTGGGTATGAAGTTAAAGGATTAGGTTGAACAGAGAGCACTTAGCATCCAAAACGGATGGTGCCATGAGGGAGACTTTCAGCAAGAGCTGTGATAAGATTACTGCGCTGAAGGCATCGAGCTTCCCCGATCCTGTTGTTAAGAGAGGCCAATCGAAGTTATTATTATTATTGCTATCAATATCAACTTAATTTGCTTTAATTAATTTCTTAATAAATACTGTTATTAATTTTTTTTTTTTCAATTAAGTTAAACAAAATTAATATTTTTAAAGATACTATTTTACAATATTGATGATTCAAAATTTTTTGTGTCGCTATAACAATTCCTCAAAACATTTTCTAATTACCTTTTTAGGTAACCTTTATCACCTTTCATAAACAACGAATTTCAATTTCATGGGCACAAAAATTTCCAAGGTCTTCCTTTGGGAGTAGTTATAACCACTATTAATTTTATTATGACTATCAAAATAGTTAAATTTTTACCTTAATTTATTTATTAAAAATAATTGATAATATAATTAATTTTTATTATTTAATATATTAAATTTAATTTATAAATAAATATTTTTAAATATCATAATAAAATTTTAAAAATATAATTATAAATTAATAATTTTAACAAAAACTAAAGTCATCTTAACAAAAACAATGGTTTCCTTAACCTTAGCTGCCTTCCTTACCTAACTTTCCAAGAATCTTCCGAACCATGTACCTTTCCTCCTCCATAGTCCATACAAAAGAATGTTAAAAATGAAATTCCCATTTATTAATATTATCTTGGTTCCTAATCATGGGATTAAATTATTAACCCAAATTGTTCATTGGCCTACTTTAGTCCTTTACTTGTTCACCCACTCCCTTATTATCAATTCAATTATTAACCCAAATTGTCAATTTTTATTTTTTTTCCAATGTTAAAAAAAGATTTGTTAAAAGGAGAAGTTTAGTTTAATTAGGTGTGTCTTACTGTTCTTCCCAATTTATTCAACGGAAAACCCTAACAAATGGCTAACTATCTTTCATGGGCCTCCACTGTTTTTGGGCCTTTCTACTATGCTGTTTCTTAATTGGGCTACTTCTGCCAATGATACATTTTGGGCCTTTCCAGGCATCCAAGCTGGGAAGAAAATAATATAATTTCCTAAATGCTAACACCATATATTAATTGCAATATTTTTCTTTTCTACATAGATTAATAAATTTCAATGTTGCATCTGCTTAGTATTTGAAAATTTGAAAAAGATATAAACAAGAAATTGACTTGTGAAGAACAAAGGCTGCAGCGAGACCACATATCCCTCCACCTATGGCAATGTCAATTTCTTCTTCTCCACACTCCATTTCCCTCCTCTCTCTCTCCCCCTTTTTGCATCTCTAACAATGTAGATATAAATACAGCTCAGTTTCTCCCCCCTTATAAAAAAAAGTGATTTTATCATCAATGAGGTTTTATGTATTATTTTACTTCGGGTTCTTTTAACATGTGCCTTAAATACATAAGCTAAGAGTTTTGAAAAAATAAATATTCACATTTAAATTATCATTCCTCCAATTAAACTTATCTAATAACAATAACTTTGGAATTAATGTCAGTTTTTACATTTTTCTATATATATTTATGATAAAAAAATACTTTAGGATACAAGTTTAAAAAAATCCTTTTACTTTTACTTTTGTAAGTTAATTTTTTTTAATGAAACTATTAATTATTATTTTTTATAAGTCATGTATATAATATTTGCAACAATATTATGATAGAGCGACCCAATTTTATGAATTTACTTAGGTCTTTAAGCATTTTTGGGAAAGATGAAAAAACAGAGAGCTTTCTAACAACATATATGCAAACACAAAGGGACCCAATTAATGGTCTAAGCTGCTAAGCTATTTGCATTGGGCATGTGAAGTCAGCAAGAGAGAGATTACAATAATAACAAACCAAGGTGCACTTAGGCTTGACTGCCAATAACTCTATGTCTGGTTGAAAGTGCAATCTCTAACCTTTAGGTTGGGTTGGAATCTCCCCATCATTAATGTAATCTGTTCAAATAATAATAATAATAATAATAATAATAATAATAATAATAATAATAATAATAATAATAATAATAACAAACTAAGGCACCCATAAGCTAGAACTCAATTTTGCTCAATGCTCACACACGTCTTAATTCTAATACTAATAATAAGCTCCTCAAATTGGGTTTCGTAATAAGCAACAAAGTCTCACAGATCTCCACAGTAATATTGAGTGTGAGCATTTGGATCTCTGAAAAGAATCATCATCAATGCCATGGTAGCAAACTTTGCAAGTGAGGAAGAAGATTGGCGTAGTGAACCCAAAAGATAAGTTTGCAAAGACAATTTCAGCAGCCTCATTCTCCTTTCTTTCACAAATTGATCAATGGCCTCCCCAATAACATTCTGTATTATCCTCATCTGCCTACCTTCTGCACTTATATCAAATTGATGAAGTTTTTGTGCCAAGCACCTACCAAGAACAACTGCATCTTCCAAAGCTGCAGAGCCACCCTGCCCTAGAAATGGACCCATTACATGCATGGCATCTCCAGCTACAGTCACTGTTCCTTTTCGAAACTTGCCTAGTAGTATGTCCCATGGTGCACGATATCTTATGTGAGTGAGGGTCAGTTTTTCTGGATCACTCCTTCTCACCATGTCTAACATTTCTTCAGGAAAGGCCTTTATTGATTCAACTGTGAATTCTCGAATGAATTCTGGATCCTTTGAAATATTTGAATCTATACATATAATATGGAAAAATCAGCACATAACTGTATACATTAAAGCAAAAATTAAATAGTCAAATGAAATTGCATTGCATGACTAACACAGGAAGCAGGGCTTCAGTGACAGGCAATAAGAAAAGGTACTAATCTACATGTATGCATAGTTTTAAAATAAATTAAGTACATGGAGGGTAGTCGAAACGTTCAAGTAATAATAAAACGTACCTGGAGGATATCCTTGGTCAGCAACAAACCAGTGGACAAGCTTATCATCGATCGGGATTCTTCCAATCATCAAATTCTCCCCTCGAAGCCGAGTAAACTCTGTTGGTAGACCATGACCATTGGGGTAACACGTTAGACCTCTAACTGCCCATAAGACGAAGAGCTTTGGTGGTTTCAATCCAAGAAAATCTGCAACTACGGAATGTGCTCCATCGCATCCAATCAAAATCTGCAGGCAGTATATATATTTGTAAACGAGTAATTCCATTCTAGAAATTAATTAATAGATTGTTTAAAAAAATTAAATCTACACTAATTAATTAAATTAAAATGTACATATATATATATACATACCTTGGCCTTGATAACACTTCCATTATGCAGTTGAATTAGTGGGTATGAAGTTAAAGGATCAGGTTGAATGGAGAGCACTTGGCATCCAAAACGGATGGTGCCATGAGGGAGACCCTCGGCAAGAGCTGTGACAAGATCACTGCGCTGAAGGCACCGAGATTCCTCACTCCTGTCAAGTTAATTTTAACTCAGTTTTCTCTTCACCAAGTTGTAGATTGTTAAGAGAGGGCAATCAAAGTAACAATTTAGTTAAAAAAAAACTGTTATTATGGAACTGATGAAGTAATAAAGAAAAAAAAATAAAATACAGAAAAAGAGTGAAGTTTTACTGAGGTTTTATAGTTTCTTCCTTGTTCCTGTAAAGCCATATGTCACGTTGCCTGTATAAACAGAGATGATAGTCATGAATACGAGAGAGGTATAGGGGGCTAACTAGCTCCCTAATTAAGGGTTGAATTGAATGACCTTTGAAGGGGAAGAGCAGTATGGCGGAGCTTGGAAGCAACGCCAAGCTGATCAAGAGCACGCCACCCATTGGGAAGAACACCGATAGCGGCTCCGGTTGCCCGAAGAGTCTCCGATCTTTCCAGAACTAAGCTTTTGATTCCCTTCCTAATTAATTAAACAACACGTACGACTTAAAGCACAAATACATATGTCTTGGATAATAACAAACGAAAAATAGAAAAAGAAGAAATGGACCTGTGAAGGGCAAGTGCGGTAGCCAAACCACAAATCCCTCCTCCAACTATAACGATGTCTATCTCTTCACCATACTCCATTTTCTTCCTCTCTTTTTTTTTTTCTGATCTTTAAGTTTTTACTTGACTTGAGGAAGGTCAACTGTGAATATGTATTGCCAGGCAAAAACCCACTTTTAGTCCCTCATCTTATAAAATTTAAAAGTTTTAATTCTTCACCTTATATTATGATATTTTTAATCCTTTATTTTATTAAATTTATAAGTTTTAGCTTCTTACCTATCAAAATTAAAGAAAATAGCCCTCAATTTAGATTGATTATTAATTCTGTTAATTAAAAGTAGATTTTTATTAACTAACAGTCAACTAATAGCCAATTAATAGAATTAACAAAATATTATTAAATTAATTCTATTAACTCTGTTAGTTGAAAGAATGTATTTAACAGCTAACAGTCAACTAATAGTCAATTAACATAATTAACAAAATATTACAAATTGAAGGTTATTCTTTTCAATTTTAATAAGTGAGGGACTAAAAGTATTATACTATAAGGTGAGGAATTAAAACCTATAAATCTAATAAGATGAGGGATTAAAAATGTTATAATATAAAGTGAGAGGCTACAACCTTTAAATTTAACAATACGAGAGGCTAAAAGTAGGGTTTTGCCTGTATTGCTCACCGTCATTGACCCATTATTATTAGGTTTAAACTTCATTTTGGTCCTCTAATTTAATAAAAAGTTTCCTTTTAGTACCTCTACTTAAAGAAAATCTTTTTTTA